TGCTTATTTAATCGTGTTTCAAGTCCATTTACCTTTTTTGAGTCTAAGGAAGACTCACTCCGTCAGAAGGGGTAGAGGGAAGAGGATTAATACATGATTTTCTCTTTTTCCCCTTTTTCTTTTAACTTAGCCTGAGACTTATTTGAATGCCTGTTTCATATCGAGCTTTTAAGTATAACATTTGTGAGTGAAATTGCCCCTTTTATTTTCAAGGTAATTGAATTCCATTTTTCACTTTCCATTTCCCTCTAGAAAAATCAAAACGTTTTCAGAGCTTGGCTTCTTAGTGGGTGATTTTCTAGGGTGGGAACTTCAGAATCATAAGACATTCTAGTGTGGCAATGGCATTCAGGACCCAGACAGCCAGGTCCCTTCTCAGCAGATGAATAGCCTCCACCAGCCGGTCTTGGAGAACATGTTGATTTCACTGTGTTTTTATTTGAAACACTGAAGGAATGCCCATACGTTGTCCTTGGGCCAGGGCTGGGGTTAAGGGAGCTGGATTTCTGTCCAGAATCTTGTCATCTGTAGGGCAGCTGAGGGGCATTATTACTCAGAGGCAAAAAGGCCTGGAACCCTGTGCTAAACTGGTTTAGATTCATGTCCCTGAAAGTGTTGGATAAAGGAGAGTCGATTTTAGGTGGCACCTGGACACGACTTTAAATAACACTGTATCACATAGTGACACAATGATTGTCTTTCCAGCTCTTTTTCAGTCTTTCCCATTATCTTAGGGACAAAGTCTCAGTTTGGTGCTGTTGTGCTGAACTATCTTCTCATCTCTGTTTTTTAAAGATAGATGAAGCCTTACTCTTAAGGCTTTAAAAGGCAATAGTTTCTGATTTGGATTTAATAACATTGTTTTATTTCCTTTTTAACATTTTTATGATAACTTTTGCTTTATAGCAGTTTTAAAGATAGGATAAAATTTTCATTTGAAAACAAGTTGGTTGGAGATTTTTTTCACTCTTATGCAGATGACCCCCCTTCACAGCATGTGAGCCACTGAAGTCGGGGGAAGCGGTAGCTTAGGTGATCAGGCAGGAAATTCAAGGAGGTTGATTTCTCCCAAGTCAGAGATGATTGCCACTTACTGGAAGGCTGTGTTGGAACAGAGTGGGTGGAGGCATGGGGAACAGAGCTGATTTCCAACCTTTCCACTGCCCTCACGGCACGTGTGTGTCTTGGCCTTCTTTGGTTTTCTCATCTGTGGAATGGGTTTCATGAGCAGTTAGAGGAAAGCAGACTAGCTTCATTTTCTAAAATAGGGTGAGTGGTGTGAATGACATTCTCCCCAAAGGTGCAGGCTCCCTACTTCTGTTTTCTTATTGCCAGGGCTCCAAGTTTGCCTCTGGGTGGAAGGGGAAGGTGGACTAGAACTCATACACGCTGCCCCCTGGTGAAGAAATGCACCCTGAGGCCAGAAAATAGCATAAACCCATCTGGCTGCCGCAGCCCAGCAGGGTGAAGATCAAAGTCACGTGTGAGTTTCGTGCAGTGACAGAGCCTTTCCCCTTCTCAGGCTGCAAATCTTTGGCAATCGGAGGCAGGCTCTGACTTAAGCTTAATTAAAATTCACTCTTAATTAGGGCCATTACTTAAAATCAATTCTACAGAATAAAGCTGTGTAATCATAATTAAGCCACAGAAATGGGATTAGGAAGCAAAGAATGCAAAAGCCAAACATGGGTGAGCCTGGTGCTGGCGGGGGCAGTGGCAGAGACTTCTGGAATTAACAGAATTTTCAAATAGCCAAGGCCCTGTGAGGGCTCTGATGAGAACCTCGGTGGCAGGCAGCACGGCAAGCTAATCAGAAAAAGGATTTGAGATGAACGGACCCCCAGAGGCAAAGCTCCGTGGTGCGGTGTTATGGGCGGGGGGAAGGAATGGCATAAAACGGAGGGACCAGATGAAACTCCTCTCCGGGCCCTGTTTCCCCAGCTGTGAAATCAGGGTGGAGGGCAGCTCCACCCTGATTGTTTCCAAGCAAGGATGTCTCTAATGGCTGTCTGCAAACTCAGGACCCCTGATGTGGGGCTCTCCTGAGGGATTTCACGGCAGCGAAGTCAGGATCGATGCCATCTGCTTGTAGCTTGAGAGGGTTCCTATGGAGTTAAGTTTAGTAGTTGGCATCATTGCAGTGTGGTTGTTTATTTTTTAACTCCTAATGAAGGAGGAGGTGTGAAGTAATATTTGCTAATCTCTTGCTTCCACACTGATGAGCACATAAAAATTAGGAGCTTGGTTTTGGAAAGAGACAATCAGCTTTGAATTTTGGATGTGCCAATTAGTGGCCAAGTGGTCGAGGGAAACATTGACTTCACTTTTCAGTTTATTCAACTGTCGTATGAGAATTCTAATCATAGTAGATGGCTTGAAGGCTGTTCTGAGAATCATGCGTATGCTCATAGCACAGTGCCTGGCAAACAACAACTAATTTTATATTGTTTCCATGTATTTATAGTGTTGATTATATTTACATTTTGAATTTACTGTGCATCAAGCACCGTTCTGTTTTATATGTATGAGCTAATTTTATTTTCACAATCACTTTCTGAATAAGCATTATTATTTTCTCTGGTTTCTAGATAAGGAATCTGAGGCTCAGAGAGGTTAAGTATCTTGCCTAAGGGCACACAGAAAGTAAGTAGCAAATAATAAGAGCCATACAAATGGTAGTTATTATTATGAGGATACTATCTGTCTATCTGTATGTGTTTGGAAGCTACAGTGAAGCCCCAGGGGAGGTCACTTACCTGTCATTGTCTCCCAGAACCCAAGCCTGTGCTTCTAATACTGCCAGAGTAAGGCCAGGCATTTGAGTTCAGAGCGCAAGGGGCTGCCAGGTATGGATTCTAGAGCAGTGGAATTGGAGCCCAGAGGGAAAGCCAGAGAAAGCTTCTCCCGACATCTGTTTTTCTTTAATTAATTATTTTATTTTAAAGATGGAGTCTCTCTATGTTGCCCAGGCTGAACTCAAGCTCCTGGGCTCAATGGATCCTCCTGCCTCATTCTCCTGAGTAGCTGTGATTGCAGGCATGCACCACCATGCCCCGCTCTGTATCTGTGTTTCGACTCGGCGTTTTCGTTCCGTTCACACCTCTCATGCCACATATATGAGTGCTAACTGTATGCCTGAAGCTGAGTTGGCCTGGACATACACTATCTTATTTAGTTTTTACCACAGCCTCACAAGTCAGGAAATGTTTCTCCCATTTTGCAGATGAGGAAACTGAGGCTCAGAAAAGCAAAGCTCATTGACAATAGTAGAATATATCCTTTAACCTCAAATTGGCACTGGGCTGGAAATTGGATTTTCAATCCATGTCATCAAACACCATGCAGTTCCAGAAAAGCTGCTCAGACTGAGGTACCTCCCAGACTCTGCCTCTGCTCACACCCAAGTCAGCAAAAAGGACTTTTCTTTTTCTTTTTTTTTTTTTTTTGTTTGAGATAGAGTCTTGCTCTCATCGTCCAGGCTGCTGCAGTGCCATGGTGCGATCTCGGCTCATGCAACCGCTGCCTCCTGGGTTTAAGCAATTCTCCTGTCTCAGCCTCCTGAGTAGCTGAAATTACAGGTGTGTACTGCCACGCTCGGCTAATTTTCTGTATTTTTAGTAGGGACAGGGTTTCACCATGTTGGCCAGGCTGGTCTTGAACTCCTGACCTCAGGTGATCCACCCGTCTCTGCCTCCTAAAGTGCTGGGATTACAGGCGTGAGCCACCGCACCCAGCCAGGACCTCTCTACAACTAGATTTAGAACCAAAGATGCCTTGGTGCTGGAGATGTCCTGCAGTTCACATTTCCCAGACAGCCTGAGGCCTATGCAGTGATTCCCCTCAGTGGTATCCATTCTGCTTATATGCCTCCAGTGAGAAGGACATCACCACTAAACTCTCACTTTCTTTGACAGAATGGAGCCAGAGAGAAATTTATCCTGGAACTAGTATTCATGAAGGCCTTCCAGTTCAGACTCAATACCATTCCCAAGTCAGTGTGTTTGGGTGAGTATGTGTTGAAAGCGTTAATTTGTTAAATGCAAAAGTTTCAATTGTATCACAATTTTTGCAAATCTGTGTTAGAATTTCCTCATTTGTTAACAAGTCAAGAACATTAATTGGAAAAGAAAATGGGATGAGGTCTGGTCGCTTGTCCATGCCTAGGGCCTCTGAGAGTCAGCAAAGACATTCCTCGTTGAGCTCAGATTTGTATGTTTGTGACATTTCTGCTCCCTGGCAAGGGTCCAGAGAGGACTGGCTCAGGGAAGGCATATGGTGCCACTGCCACCCTTGACCTGGTTGTGTGGGAATGAAGGGAAGTCTTGCTCTGATAAGGAAGAGTACACGATTACTGCTCAGTGCCAACCTGATGCCGCCCAGGGCCCTCCTGTGGCTGAAGGGAGGGTAAATGGTGGAGGGTAGGGGACCTGGTGGCCAACTCAAGTTTCCTAGGATCCCAGAGGGTCAGCTCTATAAGCAAATGGTGACCACTTCCTTGTGCCTGCACCAGGCACCCCGCCACACAGCTCCAGGGGGCACCATTTTCATGGTATTTTATGTCAATGCCTCCCTGTGGAGTTGTGCTACACAGAGTCCCTGAGGCAAACCCCAGCTCCAGAGAGCTGAACCCCACATGGAAATACTGGGCCCCAGTGCTCACAGACCCTGACTCCTGACCTGAGGAGGCTGCCGTCCCTCTCCCTGTACAACCTCTTTGTCCTTCAGCACGAGAGCATTTGCCTCTATTTACACTAAATAGAGCCAGCTCCACTTGCTGGTTCCTGTATTTTGGGCAAGCCGAGCTAGAGGCCCCCGAAGCCAGTCCGAGCAGGCAGCTGCGTGTCCTGGTGGTGGTCATGCGATGGCTCTCCTGGCCAGGTCCTCCTCCAACAACGTTTACTAAACACCTTATCTCCCTGAAAACACATGAGCTAATGTTTATGAAAGATCACCCTGTCCCTTCCACCAGGCAGTGGGGGTGCCGGGGTATACTCCCTTACCTTCTTTGCTTCCCTTTGCCCTCTTCTGTTCCCCTCATTTGGGTAGAAAACCACACTGGGTCTTCCCTCACTGCAGGCCTGAGTGCAGAGCAGACCCTCCACGGGACTTTCCATCAGCTCCATGTCTCCACTTTCCAGGGCACATGCACCGCCCCTGGGAGTGTGGTCAGCCTCGTTGTACACAGGGGGAAGCGGGCTGAGAGCAGCAGAGCCTCTTGGCCAAAGTTACAAAGTGGGTTGGTGGCTGGCCTGGGGACCCAGGCTACTGACTCCTAAAGCCTCCTCTGAACTGCTGTATTTGTGATAACCATTCATTTAAACATTCCTGATTTTTCTACGGATGGATGGCTGGTGGATCAATAGCTAGTTATATACATAAATAGGAAAAAAAAGAGCTGAACAAATGCATAGGTGGATAGAGATGATTGTGTGGGTAGAGAGGTGACTGCAGACAATTCTGGAAGAAAACAGGAGAAACTGGGCAACAGCTGCCTCTACGAAGGGAATAAGGCATCGGGGAAGAGAGAGAGAGAGATGACTTTTTTCTTTTTTGCTCTCTCTAAACTGTTGGAATGTTTTTATGTGCATACATTAGTTTTTAAAAAATCTCTTTTGCTATTTTTTGCCCTCTCTTCTTGTGTGTCTGCCTACAAGAGAAATAAGAAGCCAACACACTAGAAAAGTTGCAGGAGATTCCTAGGGGAACCCACAAAGTTAACTCCTTGCCAGAAACCTGCTCCTCCAGATGAATCCAGCACACTGGACCGGCTCAGATGCACAGGTGGCACAGACCTCTACTGAAAAGAACAATAGTGGAAGGCCGATGAAACCCAGATTTTGAAGTCTGAGAGCCACGTGGGGCTGCCCCAGTTACCTCTACCCCTGGTCAGTGACCAGAGAATCCTTTAGCAGCAGCAGCAGGGATGTTTATTTCACTGGTATGTATAAAGCAACTGACTGAAAACAACCTGCATGCCCAGCAACTTAGAACTGGTTAAATGATTTTTAGTTCAGCCACACAGTGGAATATCATGTGGCTATTAAGAATAAGTCAGAAGTCCTAGACTTCCCATATTCAACATTAGATTTAAAACAACTGAACAAACACCTTCACAATTAGGCTTCCTCAGGTTGAAACGTGAAGTCAAGTCAACGTGTGTCAGAATGTTAACAACAGCTAACTCTTGGTTGTGATGTTCTGAGTAACTTCTGAGTAACTTATATTATTTTTCAGGTTTTTTTTCCACTACTAATGTGCAAATATACACATTTGTAAAGATCAATAACATAAATCTCTGCATAGGCAGATTGGAAGGAAATCAGACAAAACCGTACCTTTGGGTAGTAGAATTATAAATCATTTTCTTCTTCTCTAGAGTTTCTGAATTTTCTGCATTTGATATGTTTACCTATATAAAGGGTCCATCATATTTATGATGATTTTTTTTAAAGACAAGTAGACAGGGAAAGAGGGGTCTCCTGTTGCAAAACCAAAGCTGCAGGCTCTCCAAAGCCCACTTACGTCAGTTCAATTGATATTGCATGAACCTCTAATGTGCAATTCACTTTCCACTGAGGGGGATGAGAAATACAGAGATGAAGGAAGTGCAAACACTTTAATCAAAGAAATCACAGTCCAGTTAGGAAGATAAGATTCTGCATTATATAAATTACAAGGTCTTATCCAAGAGGTTAGTCTGTCAAGAGTAACAGCAATAATTACCCAACAATATGTCAGAGTGTCTAGGAGCTCCAGCTTCAAAGCACTTCATTTTCATTCTTAAACTCATCTCAATTTCTTAACCATATGGGGCCCAAGCCTCAGTTACCTCTTCTGTAAATGTAAACTACCTCTTGGGGTACCTTTTAAGAGGATTAAATGAAACTTGAGCATGAAGGGGCTGAGCTAGGTGCTTTGGAAATAGTCCTACCTCAGCATGAGAGACGTTACCATCATATGGCTGTGGTGTTTGTGGCCATCTATCTGCAAGTCATGCTTTCACAGATATGGCAGAGCTGGGATTTGAACCCACATTGATCTAATTCCAAAGCCAATGATTCTACCCCAACCAGACACTGCCTTTACTCTCTGTGCCTAACTGAAATTTGTTCTAAACCTCACCCTAAGTTCTTGCCAGAAAGAAAAGCTAATTTTTCATTAAAAGATCAAAGGAGAAATGAATCTATTTCAAAGGACATAAGAGGAAGAAGGAAATATCCCTTCATGCAGGATTTTGCAACTTCGTCCATGCTTCTACGGCGTGTAAAAGTAAAAATCCTATACTTTCCATATTCAATGTTCAATTTAAAACAACTGAACAAACACCTTCACAATTAGGCTTCCTCAGGTTGGAATGAGAAGTCAAGCCAACACATACCTTTTGCTGCAGAAGATTTCTGCACTGTGAATGTGAGAGGATTTGCCTCCTTAAGCAAAGGGTGCTGGTGTTTCCCGGCTGGAGGGTAGAAAGTCATGAACAGAAAGCAAAGCGCAGGGAAAGGGCAGCGTGTGGGGAAGAGCCCCAAGGATCTCAGTATGAAAACCAAGAGGGGTGCACCAACTTGCAGGTTTGGGCTACAAGTCTGGGGAAACTGGTTCAAAACCAACGGAGGCCCAAAAGCAGAGGGAAAATTCTGTTTACAGGCTTCCACGTCATTCAGAAATGTACCTCCTTGAAAAGAGTTAATATGTTTTTTCTTTTATAAAAATTTCAATAGGTGTTTGGGAAACAGGTGGTGTTTGGTTACATGAATAAGTTCTTTAATGGTGATTTCTGAGATTTTAGTGCACTCATCAGCTGAGCAGTGTACACTGTATGTAGTCTTTTATCTTTCACCCGCCTCCCACTTGGAAGAATGGTCTCCAATGCCATCCAGGTTGCTGAGAATGCCATTATTTCATTCCTTTTTATGGCTGAGTTGTATTCCATGGTGTGTGTGTGTGTGTGTGTGTGTGTGTGTGTGTGTGTGTATAAAACAATTTCTTTATCCACTCATTGATTGATGGGCATACGTCCTGGTTCCATACTTTAGCAATTGTGAATTGTGTTGTTATAAACATACATGTACAAGTATCTTTTTTGTGTAATGATATATTTTCCTCTGAGTGAATACCCGGTAGTGGGACTGCTAGATCCAATGGTAATTCTACTTTTAGTTCTTTAAGGAATCTCCACACTGTTTTCCATAGTGGCTGTACTAGTTTACATTCCCACCGGCAGTGTAAAAGTGTTTTCCCCCCGTCCCTCTGGTCGCCTTTTTAAGGGATCTACCTAAACTCAACTATAACCCATCCCATCCCATCTCATCCTGCCTCAAGCTAGAAAATAGGAGTGCAGATAAGAAAACAGTACAGATAAGAGTGCTGGAAGGGTGTGTGTTTGAATAAGAAGGAACACAGGTAAACGGATCGGGTCACAAGTACAGTACCTGAGGCAGGTAGGAGGTGTAGCTAACAGAGTGAAGTGGGCAGAAAAGACTTCCAAAGAAGAAGGTGCTTGAGTTGGGTCTTCAAGGCTATGGTGAGTGGTTTCCTAGCGGATCTGAGAAACCAAGGTGACTTCAGGGAGAGGGAAGAGCACGCAGTGAGGCATGGGAACGCACACTGTGTTTTCAGAGAGCTTGGTGGGTTGCAACGTCTGGATCCCAACTGTGTGTAGAGGAGACTTGGGACAATAAGGCCACTGTGCAGGTAGGACAGCCCCCAGAGGGTCTTGACTGACAAGCTGAGGGACATGCTATAAGAGTAGGGGCCAGGGGAAGAGATGGACTCTGATTGGCTCCCTGGCAGTGGGTCCCCTGTGTGCTCAGCAGCTCATGGATACCAGAGGATAACAGGCCCGTACCTCCATATTGCCCAACAGGTTATCACATCTTCAGTTTGGAGAGAATTAAATTAGTCTAAATGTATCGTTTACCAGATGACTTTGGATAAGCACATATTTGGAACCTAAGAGAATTCATCCATTCATTTGCTCATTCAGAACAGTTCTTGTGCAATCACTTCATATTCAGTGCTGCTGAAATTTCTTTGGGGGCTACACAGGTTAGTAAGGCTTGGTTTTAATCTCTGGAACCTTACAGCCCGAAGGAGGGAGAGGTGAGTACTAACTCCACGGTGTTATCCCAACAACTCTGCTCGTCACTTCCCTTTCCACCACCCCTTCAAACACTTCAGTGGACTTTCATCTCTCAAGAAAAATGCAAACTCTCATCTGGGCCTAAGAATCTCTATATGGGCTACCCCTGCTCACCTCTGGAGAGGCATCACCTTCCACCCTCCACCCCTCCTGCTCCATCCTCATTGCCCCTTCTTTCAATGATCCTGATAGGATGCCCTTCAGCCACAGGCCCTTAGCAAATGCTGCTCCCATGGCCCAAGTCATCTTCCCTGGTTCGTGCCTACTTCTGATTCAAGTTAAGTTACCCCTTGCGCGAGTGTTACCAATCAATCTGAACTGACCAAGTCCTTATTACACACTCTCAAACTCCACAAGATGTTCTTCATAGCTCTCATCCCAGTTAAAATTAGTTTGTACTTCTTTATATGATAACTGTATTAATGTCTTTATTCTCCACCAAACTGAGAGTCCATGAGGGCCTAGACTGTGTGCTTTCTAAAAATCACGCCTGTAATCCTAGCACTTTGGGAGGCTGAGGTGGGTGGATCACCTGAGGTCAGGAGTTGGAGACCAGCCTGACCAACAAGGTGAAACCCCGTCTATACTAAAAATACAAAAATTAGCCAGGTGTGGTGGCAGGTGCCTGTAGTTCCAGCTGTTGGGGAGGCTGAGACAGGAGAATTGCTTGAACCCAGGAGGCGGAGGTTTCAGTGAGCCAAGATTGCACCACTGCACTCCAGCCTGGGTGACAGAGCAAGACTGTCTCGAAAAAAAATCAGCTTGATTGTGGTCGAATTTATGTATAATAAACACACCCATGTTAAGTGTACTTATCAATGAATTTTTAGAAGTTCATTAAAAATGTATATATTGGTGTAACTGCCACTACCACAATCACATACTGAACATTTCTATCACCTGAAGAGGCTTCACAGTGCCTCTTCTCAGTCTGTCCCCACCCTCAAGCAACCATGGATCTGCTTTCTGTCCCTGTACATGTCTTTTCTGCAGCATTGTATGAGTGGAATCATACAGTAGGCATTCTTTCGTGCCTGGCTTCTACCACTCCACATGGAGTTTTGAGTGTCATCTGTGCTGTGTGCATGAGTAGTCTGTTCTTATTTATTGCTTAATGATACTATTTTCTGAGTGGCTCATGGGGGTTAATTCTGTCTCTGCAGGTAAGCCATCAGCCTCCTGAGGGCAGAGGCCACATTTCCTGATACTCTGACATTTGTTATGAGTCTGACATATAGCTGACCTTTGGGGGTGACACATTCCATCTTCTCTGACCCAGAGTATGGGAGTGACTTTGTCCCCATACTCAACAGTCACTATGACACACACAGCAGCCCTTCCCTCCAAATCCCACAAGTTAAACCTCTGGGCCCAGCAAGCTCCAGCACA